TATGAAAGAAATATGTGCTCCGATAAATGGACAAAATTTAGAGTTTGCCATTGAACACTATAGTCACCTGAAAAGTCTAAAATTAGCAGAAAGAGATTGCACTGATAAAAATATTTGTGTGGATATCCTTATTGGCGCAGATTTTTATTGGTATTTTGTGGAAAATGAAGTAATTAAAGGTGTTGATAGTCCTGTCGCCCTTAAGTTTAAGCTTAGTTTTTTATTAAGTGGTAATTTATTGGAAAGTCAGATAATTGTAGTGTGTTTCACTCTCATGTTTTAAAAGTTTTTTCTGAATTCAGTAGTCACCAAGCAGTATTTAACAATTCTTGTTGTCTTTCTGAGATTCTGAAGCCATAGGCACAACAACATCTGAAATTAATTACATAGTCTATGAGAACTTTAGAAAGGAAATTCAATTTAACAAACATTCTAAACGTTATGGAGTTGGTTTACCATTTAAATTAAACCATGATTTAATTAGTGATAACTATACCTATTGCATCAAGCGTTTGGCACCAGTACTTAAAAGCTTAGTAAAGACAATAAATTACTTACAAGATACAATTCGATTATTAAAGAACAATTGTGTCAAGGTATTATTGAAAATGTAAATAATCATAATTTAGATATGGTGATGTGCATTTTCTACCACATTGACCTGTGATTAGAGACAATAAATCAACTACTAAAGTACGCATGGTATTCGATGCTAGTGCATCTATTGATGGACCATCGTTTAATGATTGTTTGAATGCAGATCCAAGCTTGACAACTTCTTTGTTTGGTGTACAAATATGCATTTATCTCTGACATTGTGAAAGCATTTTTACAAATATCCTTAAAACATACAGATCGTGATTTCGTTAGATTCTTATGGGTAAAGAACGTAGATACAGTTAATAGTAAAAATATTTTATCCTCGCAAATTGCTACATATCGTTTATGCAGAGTTTTATTCGGCTTAACTTCGTCGCCCGTTTTACTCAGTGCAACATTAGCTACTCACCTGCAAAAATATGTTAAAACTGATGCAGATTTTGTTGAAAAGATGATGTTAGCATTGCATGCTGATGATTTAAACTCTGGTAGTAATGATTTAAACCAATGTATACATTTTTTTACTAAAGCTAGAGATTGCTTACACGAAGTAAATTTTAATCTTAGGAAGTTTGAATCAAATTCAATGGAGTTTGAACAGAAGATTCAAACACTTAGTTATAAACGAATAACTCAAACTAGAATACTTGGTCAATCACGGGATAAGGACTCTGAAGAATTTATTTACTCATTTAATGAAATTCCTTCACATGATATACATATTCCCTCAAAAAGTGATGTTATGAAATTTATTGCCAGTGTTTTCGATCCTATAGGACTTATTATCCCAGTCATTGTACGATGTAAGTGCTTGTTCCAGAAGTTATGTATTATAAAATATTCTTGGGATGATTTGCTGTCTAGTGATATATTAGAGGAGTGGCGTGATATTATAATTGATTTTTGTTCATTAAACAAATTAACTTTACCTCGTTGGCTTATGTCAGACACTTACTTATCCAACACTAATGTGAAACTTGAGCTTCATGTCTTTGCCGATGCAAAGCCTTTGGTACTTGTATATATCTTAGATGTATTATAAATACGGTGATCTATACTGAAGGCCTTGGCATCGCGCAAACAGCTTAGTTGACTGGGGGCCTATTTTTTTAACGGCGAAAACAAAGCAAAAATGTGCTTAGTAATTTTATCTTAACTCAATGAACTTTTTAATCTCAAAATGTTTTATTTTATAATAACCAAACTAAAATTCAAACAAAATATTTCTTAACTTATAAATTTTCCTCAAATTCAAAAACAAAAAATCAAACAAAACAATAAAATTAAGATCAAAGTCATGCCATATATATATATATATATATATATATATATATATATATATATATATATATATATATATATATATATATATATATATATATATTTTACAATTAAAAATTTGCGATAAGAATACAATAGTAGTTTTATAATTCATGACAATTTTATTATTTTTTGAGCTAGTTCTTTATTCGAACAAGGAGTCAAAAGTTTACATAAATTATTTAGAAAAGTGTTTGAAAGAATATTTCTGTGATGTCAATGCATCTCAAAGTTGTAAAACTTTGATATCATCATTAGAATATTGCTCAATGAAATTCTGCATACATGACATGCAGGTATTATCTGTGGGAATAATAAGTCCACAACGGTCAATTGAGCCTATGTATTGTTCATACTTTTGGTGGTAGAAAGTTGTTTTTTCTAGCAGCTCATTTTCTGATAGTTCTTTATCTTTACGAGTTAAATACCCTGATGTGTATATAAGTGCCATATTTGTATCAGGAGAAATAAAAGATTCAAAGTTTGGTAGGTTATAAAATACCTCAGTAGAGGACTCATCTAATAAAAAACCACAATTTGGACAAGAATGGGTTGTATCAAGACATATGTAAACAGCTGGGTTATTAAGTGATAGTAAAAGCTTGGCTCTTGAAATATTTAATTTTTAAATTACCTGTTGTACTGTTATAAAATATGTACCTCCGGAATCTTGTCGCAATTTGCTAAACTTTTTTTCCAATGGATCAGTAGAAAACTCACTAAGAATGACATTTTGGTGTGAGCTATTCAATAATGATCGAAATAATTCAACAACACCATTGCACGTATGGTAAATTGATTGTGCAGTGTCACAAGTAAGTTGTTTCTTTCTTTAACCTTGCTTTCCAGCCATCTTTAAAGCCATATTTTCTAAAATATTTTTTTAAATCTATTATCATTAGGATCTCTTATTACTGCTTGAAGTTCATTACTAAATCTAATATCTGCACCTGTTCCTTTAACATTGAGAACTTTCCACCATGATACAACAATGTTAATAAAATCTGCTGTGTCGTTTAAATTAGACAATTCAACTAAGTTTTTAGATTCAAGTTCATAACGTTTTTTAAGGTGATCTTATTGTGCTACTTTTTATACCCCTTTATCATAAAAAATAAGTTGACCAGTTTTTTTTTAGTAAGACAATTATTTCTCATGTTTTTAATCAAAGATTAAGAAAACACCATCATTAGTCAACCAAGGTTTATTTGAAACTGTAACTTCAAAGATTTTAAAATAAGCCTGATTAATTCTATTTCCATCACATATTATGGCTTTGACTTGACCTGATGATTTCTTTATTGATTGGATAGTAATGCTAATTTGTTTGAAAAGAAATTGAGAGTTTAATTTACTTATAGGTATTATTTTGGAAATGAACGATGATCCACCGAATAAGCAGTTAACCATTAAACCCAATACAGTTTTTGCAAGAGAAGTTGAATCATCCTTTGCTTTTCCGAACAATGTACTACCATGATATAATAACATTTTTTTGACATAAACCTCGTCATGCAATAACAAACAAATTTTCTGTTTTTTTTTTTAATAGGTTGAAAAATATTAGTGAAAAAAAGTTTTTCGTTTAATTTAAAACTTTTGAAATTATTCTTGTCAAAGTTCTTGCAGAAGGCAATTGGTAATTTGTTCGATATTGGTTATACAAACTTTTCGATGTAGCAAAATACTGGAAAGATCTAATAATAATTTCTTTAGAATGAATCTTATTTCCAACACACTGTGTACCCATAGAAGCTAAATGTTCTTGAATTACAGTTTCTTTTCTTCCAGGAATCAAACTCTTTAAATAATGTAGGACTTCTTCTAATATTGACAATGCATTAATTTTTGAAACTCTGTTTTTAGAAAATGTAGGAATTTTAATTTTGACCCCATAGTGATAAATTTCAAAATATAAGTTGTCTATAATCTTGATGAAGAAATATGGAACCCCATATGAATAAGCTTGTGATTGCAAATAAATAATGCTATTAATCATAAAACATACTGATGGAACACCTAAATCTCGTTCATGACATAAAAGAATTAATTTCATTTCAGCAAAAGTTACTCTATCTTTTTTTAAAAAGGCTGATAGTTCATTTTGAGCAAAATTCCGAATACACGAAGAGGTACAATTTGTTGAACGTAATGGAGGAGGTTGAGTGGGAGTTTGACAAGACAGTATACCTGGCCAAACAGATGGTGGAAATTTATGACGATATTTTCCTCTTATGTGTTGCTTTTCAAAATTTATTGGCCAATTCAACTCACAAACTACAGTGTCATTAGTTATACCTTTAGATTTGCATTTAGAATTACTTTAATACACATTTGTTTTTCATCTTCATTTTTAGGAAATCAATAGAGAGATCTTTAAACTATCAGATTTCTTTTTAGCAGATAAATAATTTGTGGTACAGCCATAAATACAACTTTTTACCCATATTTCAATATTGCTAAAATGGCGATTATAGTTAAGTATGGTTTAAAATAGGCCCCCAGTGAAATACGTTGGCAAGGCCTGCAGAATAGATCACCGTGATTATAATTTATAATCACGGAGAATTTATATAATTTATTATTACAAGAATGGCAAAACATTGTGAATTGTTTATAATATAAACGATTCACATTGTTTTGCCACTCTTGTTGCCTCTAAGTCTAGAGTGGCCCTTGTCAACAAAACGGCGGTAAAGCTACAGTTACGCGGCCTAAAATAATTATATTTTTGCGCTAATTGCGCCAGGGAGTTTTACTACATCGACTATCTTATAGCCTGACTTGCAACGGAGTGCTGCTACATCGACTATCTTATAGCCTGCTGCTACAAGGAAGTGCTGCTACATCAATTAAGGGTTTGGCATGGGGCAACAATCTTTTTTCTTTTATTATTTCAATTATATTCCTATTGTTTGTAAACTTCTACTGACAAGAGGAAAAATAAAATTACTTTAGGTCGCGTAACTGTAGGATTACCTAAAACGACTGTTCCAATATTGGAGTTAAAAGCAATGGTTTTATTGTGTTCTCTGTTGTCTACTGTAAAAAGTGAACTTAAAAATTAAAATATAAATAAAATGTTTTGTTGGACTGATTCTACAATTTTTCTCCATTGGTTAAAAATTTCTAATCAAAAGTATCAAGCATTTGTAGAAAATTGTTTAGTAAAAATTCGCACTTTATTCCCAATCGAATTTTGGAAATATGTAGAGTCTACACGAAATCCTGAAGACATGATTTCTCGTGGAAGTTCGTTCAAATTTATTTTTAAAAACAGTCTTTGGTTTAATGGTCCTAATTATCTTAATGACATTTTAATTCCATGGCCTATTTATAATTTGTTAGAACCTAATGATGGTGAAGATAACATATGCTTGTTAACTACTGTCAAACCCTTGAAAATTAATTTGAAATTTATTAATACTGATATATTCAGTAGTTATGAACAATTAAATAAAGTAACTGCTTGAGTTTTAAGATTCGTAAATTGCTTAAAAAATTGTATTCGACAATTTTTTAAGCAATTTACGAAAGACATGTGTAGTCATAAAGCCTACTATTTCAGCTGACGAAATTGAAAGAGAAAAGACACTCTGGGTGCAAAATGAACAACGTGATGTCATGACAAACAAAAATTTTAAACAATTGAAAAGCGACCTTGGACTTCGAGTTGTTGATGGAATTATTCAATGCCACGGAAAAATGGACAGTGCACTAATTCCAAGAGATGCTAAATTTCCTATTTTTATTCCACACAGTAGTCATTTGTCAAAGTTGTTGATTGTTTATTTTTATAAATTAGTGAAGCATAATGACTTAAAAGAAACTCTTTCCGAGCTGAGAACTAAGTTTTGGATTCCTCAATGTAGACAGTTGATTTGTAACGTAATTTTAAAGTGCAATGTTTGTCAATAAATTGAGGGACTACCTTACAATGAATTGAGGGACTACCTTACAATAAATTGAGGGACTACCTTACAATAAATTGAGGGACTACCTTACAATAAACTGAGGGACTACCTTACAAGTACCCTCCATCTCCTCCTCTTCCTCTGTGTCGTTTATGTGATGAGTATCCATTTAAGTATACTGCAGTAGATTATGCTGGTCCTGTATTTAATAAAAATATATATGGAGACAGTGACATTATGTACAAAGGATGGATTTTTTTGTTTACCTGTGCTAGCACTCGTTCTATTTGTTTGGATTTGGTATCTGATATATTGTCTGCTGTATATATTCTTGGATTGAGATGTTTTTTCGCTAGAAGAGGTGTTCCTAGTAAAATTATATCTGATAATGGTACACCGTTTGTTGCCAAACAAAAGCAGCTATTTGCAAGTAATAAATCAATTGAATGGCAATTCAATGTACCATCTGCCCTGTGGTGGGGTGGGTTCTTTGAGAAAATGGTAAAAATGGTCAAAAGATGCCTCAAGGAAGTTGTTGGAAAAGCTTCAAACAAATGTTAGCATTATTGCAAGAAATTAAAACTGTTGTAAATAACCGACCACTTACGTTTGTAAATAATGAACCTTGTATAGAACCTTAACACCTAATCATCTTGTGTTCGGACGAAAGTTAAACTTGAATGGAGTTGTTAGCGATGATACTATTGAGATAGATATAAATAAACGATCACTTGAAAAATGTTCTTGATCATTTTATTAAACGATGGAAAAGGGAATATCTTACTGGCCATTAGACTGTTTGTTTCCGATATTTATTTTAAGATATTTACTTCCTGAAAGTTGATTCTTTCTTTTATATGGTTGATGTCTTTTTCAATTATTATAACCTTCAATTTGCTTTTATTAAACTCGTTTTCAAGATTATCAAGCCAACCTGTTATTATTTTTAGATTTGCACTTATGATATCGCTAAATATCTTTTCTTGTTTTTTTTTTAAAGATTGATAATTTCACTAAGAATATCTTTTTTTTGTCCTTTCAGTTTGGTGGTTATTCCATCAATATTCAAATCAAATGTGTTTTTTAATGGCATTTTTAGATAAATTGTTATTATCTAACAAAGCTAGTGCATTTATAAGATGTAACTTTTAATTAAAAAAATTTATATGCAATGTTCACACAAAAAAATATTTGTCTGAAATTTTGTTTCTTTAAAACTAGTGTTGTTACGACTTTTAAATAATTTGACTGTCTTCTAAATTGCCTAATATATTTTCTAAAGTCGACTTAAGTCGACTAATACATTTTTGAAAATTATTTTATTTAAAACTTTAGTTCACTATTTAGCAATTTTGTTTGAAACTTCTTGATCTAAAGAATAAAATTCTTTTAAAACACCACTATTAGTATTATCGTAAATAAAAGCTGTCCTTCCAATATCGGTAGTACCGTTACCGGAATACCTGTATTACTTGACTCTTAAAAGTACCGAAATACCGGTATTGGTTTGGCTCAATACCGGTATTAAAAATATATGGAAAGCGCTCGGATGCGATGTCTCTTTACGTAAAACACAAAAGTAGATAAAATTTTTAAAATTTTCAGTCGCGATAAACAACGCTTGTTCATCTTATAATGAAAGTATAAAATCACGCTTAAGAGTTTGAGATAAAAATTAATTTTTTTAATTGATTTTTTATAAAAAAATTATTGTCACAAATAATTAGTTAAATATAAAACTTGTTTGATTTAAAAATTTTGTCTTCCTTCTATTAACAAACCACTGATTTAAAATATTATCATTATGACACTTGCTTGTAGAACCATATGTCATAAGAAATAGATTTAATATATATAGAGGAAAGTCGGGTAGCCCCGGACGGCGGGTAACTCCGGACACTTGATGTACAACTTAAACTAAAGAAGCTATTTGACTTTTAATACCAGAATAACAAAATTTGAGTAAAAATATGGCATATGCAGAATATCTATCATAAAATGTCTAAGCAAATGACTGGGAAGGCAAGATTATGTTTCCCACCACCAGAAAAGCGACGTATCATCATATTTGATTCACATAATAATATACCTAATTTTTATGTAAACTAATAACTTTTTAATGATTAAAGATATATTTTTATTTACAATAGTTATTAAAAAAAAATTTGTTAAAAAGTTCAATTCACTGGTTTTAAAACTAGTATTTGCGTTTACATATTGATAATAAACAAATTTTTTTATATAAATATTAATACATTTTAGTAAGGAACACAAACCTATAACAGTAATTCATTTAATTCCGATAAAAAAACATTCGATTTGAAAAAAGTGTTTTTAAAGTGTTTATTTTCATTATAAAAAAGCTTATGTTTATATTTTTAAATGATGACATTTTCATTCTCATTCTATATATTTCAGAGGCAATTTTGAAAGGCGATTTTTTTAAAAATATGTTAAAAACAGTCCAATGCTAAATTATTATATATTACATTTGTGTCACACTGGTAAAAAAAAAAGGTAAAATCATGGTTAAACTATGTGTTGGGGGCTACCCTCCAATTTTGAAACATGCCTTTTTTTTAATTCTATGTTTTGTATATTATTAAGATACACAATAATTATTTTTTTATTTCTAACTCGATAGATGAATGTTTGAACTTTTAAAAAAAGTTTTTTGACACTTTTTTTCTGTTAGCATATGCGCACAATCTATATTTTCCTTAAGTATCCGGGGCTACCCGACTCGCCCCTACATAATATATAGACATAAGAAGTCTATTTCTTATGGCTATGGTAGAACGCATGTTTAAGTTTTGCGCTAATGTAAAGAATAAAAAGTTGTTACAGCTGATTTCTATAATAGAATGCTAACTATTTTAACCAAGTGCGCGTTGAAACGAAAATGCAATGTGAATGGAACATAGCGTTAACGCAAAAGCAATATTAATAGAAAATTGCTAAAAGAAAATTAAAACTTAAAAATATTTTTAATTTAGTAAAAACTTCAAGATTATAAAAAGTTATTCATAGTGTAATTTGCCAATGGTGTCCCAAGTAAATTTATAGAATTAACAGCAATTAAAATTACGTTTACGAAAAAAACTTTATGCATTTTGAGTTAAAAATCTTGAACCGCATTAATATCTAGAAAAAAATAAAATGTCCGAAAGAGTATTCAAAGAGTTCAGCACTGGTGTTAAAATCGACGACAGTTAAAATCGGTGTTAAAATCGACGACAGTTAAAATAAAACAACCGAGATTTTAACAGTGTTAAAATCTCGGTTGTTTTATTTTCCGCGTGATAAAGAAAATCAAAAGAAAGAGGTACCTAAGAACTAACAATGAAATTGACTTGCTGAAGAGGAAATTGTCCAAAGATCCAGCATTGTCATCGGTTTCGTTTTCAACGGTTCTGATGTTTAAGTAAATGTGATCAACACTTTTGCCTTGTGCAATTTAAATAGGTGTTCAAGACGCTTTGTACAAAAAGCCGTCAACTTCTGCAAAAAAAAAAAACTTGAATATATTCTGCAAGTACAACAACAGCAGTGAAAGTGACGAGGATAGATATACTGACGATGACAAAACTAATTATGATGAAAATTTTTGTGGCGAGGTTTAAGTTGTAATAAGTGAAAAGAATGACTCTATTGAACTGACTGGTGATTTACAGTCGTTAATCAAAAAGGTGCGCACCTTTGTGAAATTGTTTCGCTGTTCTCCAATAAAAAATGATCAAACACTTCAAAAATACGCATTAGAAAAGTTTGGTAAAGAGCTTTTGGTAAAGAAATCTTAGTTTTTATTGAATCAAACTTTTTAGCCATATTCAATAAATTAAAAACAAAATCTTTGAAATGCAATGAATAATAACTAGGATTCACTTTGCATAAAGTGCCCAAAAAGTTAAGAAGAAAGAAAAAAAAAAGATTTTTTACTTTTTTTACAAAAACAATTTTTTAACCGGGCTTTTTATCTAAAAAACAAAACTGTGTGCAAGAACCTTCATTATATTAGCCAAATTATTATCATTTTTAATGAGATCAAAGAGCAAAGATCAATGAGATCAAAGACCAAATTATTATCATTTTTAATGAGATTAAAAACGAAATATTACGTTTAATTAAATAAACAAGAAAATTTAGTAGTACTAGCTGTATAACCGATGTAAGAGAAGTATGGTTTCTTACCTTGGTTAAGATCATAGAACTTAGAGTCTCTCTCTGCTGCTACTTTGGAAGTTAAGACGCTTAAAACCATTTTAGCTACTTTTATTAAGGTAGGAAATCTCGTTTGATTTCTTCTTAAACATTTCAAAGAATAAGTTGCTTTTAGACGCCTTTATTTTCAAGAACTATTTTTACATATCCATAAAGTGTATACAATCAAGTTTCTCACGTAGAAACTAGAGTTTGCTTTTTTTATGTCCCCATCTTTGTGCATTTTGGCTTGATTATTTCGAAGCCCTTCCACAAGATATTTTTATCATTGAAAAAACAGGTAATCAATTTTCCATTATTTAAAAACTTACTAAACCTATCTTTAAAATAATTAACAAGCAAATTGGTTGTTTTAATCTTTGCAACGGCTTTATTTCCTATATATAAGAGAAAACTGCTTGTAAACAACGAATAGATTTTTTGAATGTCATGAAATGTTTATTTTTATTTTTGAGGATTGGTGGAGATAAAGGTTTTTATTTTTGAGGATTGGTGGAGATAAAGTCATAAAGTTGTTATAGTAGGTATTTTCTATATTTATCATGTCAACAATGGATCTTTTTTAAACACCATTAGCTTTCTTTACTAAAGGAATCTTTTCTCAGCATTAAAATTTGATAACTTCTTAATGTTTTTATGTAAAACAAAGAACATCAAGGTTTTATATATCTATGAAAACAGTGGATTTTAAAATTTTGAAAATTTTATATAAAATTCTCAGCTTAATTTGTTAGCATGTTTTCTGTTTCAAATTTGCTAAATCAATTTAGGAGTAGATTGTTGATAAAAAGATCTTTATTTATTTTCTTTACTATTGATCATTAATGAAAAGCTATGCTTGTCTTGATTTTAAAATAAATTTTTCAAAGTTACTGATGGATTTTTTTTGTTTTTTAAAGATCGCACTAATGGGGAGAGAAAAGGCGGAGGAAGGGGCAGCCGGACCTCCTACATTTTTTTTCCAATTTTTTTCATCTCAGCTATTAAATTATTAAGTTTTTTATAACATAGAAAAAGTATTTTTTTTTTTTTTACACAAATTTAATGAGCATACAAAAACAATACTTATTCTACAGAATTTTAAACTTACTTTCAATATGCACGAAAATATTTCATTATGCACGAAAATATTTCAATATGCACGAAATAATTTTATTGTGTTAATCTTTAAAAAAAAGATTCTATTTAAATTGCTGTTGTTTTTGTTCGTGTTATTTTTTTGTTTTCTATTATGCTTGGCCCTACCATTATCGTAAAGAATTTTTTTTTTAGTTTTTAATTTTTTTAAAGTTATTGCCACTGATGCTAAAGCTAACTTTTATTGATTCGCCAGTAATCACAGTTCACCGAATGTTTTCATTATCGCATTCAATGTTTAATTATCTATTTAAAATATATTTAATAAATATAATATATCTATATAATATATATTTAATTAAATATATAACACTCTGTTAAATAAACAAGTTTTATATTTTGTCCAATTAATCACTTTTACTTATAAATTGCCCCGAAAATTAACAAAATATAAAGTGTACGTATCCAGAACCAATGATATAACATATCCAGAACCAATGATATAAAATAGCTATAAAATATTAATTTTATTATAGAAATCAATAAACTTATATTGTTTTTTATTAAAAAAAAAAGGATGATTCTAAAAACACACAATCAACTGACAATAATTAAAAGATATGTATTAACTTGTCTTATTTAAACTTGACAAATATAACGGAACCTTTAACGAATTTCTAAAAACAATATTATTTTTAAGAATCTAACCGGCTCAATAAAATAATATTGGCAATTGTTCACATAATGTATATGTTCTTTGAGCTTCTATCCATTAATATATTATAATAAAAACACATGTATATAAATTTTGTTAATGTGAGAAATACCTGTAACGCTCGTAAATCATTTGAATTAAAAAAGTGCTTTTTATCTGTCACCTAAATGTAAAATGTAACATTCGTTTAATTTAAAACAATGAAACAAAAATATCTCAGTTGTAAGTTGTAAGGTGCACAAACAAAAAAAATCCAAACTGCATCAGATAAAATTTTTGATGATATTTAAAAAATATTTTAAATATAAAAGAATTTCATAATTATAATCACTCAAAAAATTTCATACTTTTGTGGGTGTTTTTTGTTCCAAAAAAATCCCACAAAATTAGGGTTTGTGAATTTATATCATTACACTATATTAGGGTTTGTGAATAAATTTATTATAAAACAATATATCTACTACGATCAATCATTATAAGAATTAACCATCATTCAACAAAAGCATCAATCATCAAGGGATCTCCTATATGCGTACATGATCTCCTATATACGTACGTGATCTCCTATATGTGTACGTGATCTCCTATATACGTACGTGTACATGCAGAACTTTATGGAGGTATCAGATAATCGGTATGTGTCAGATTAAACCAGTTATGATTTAATCTGATTTAAATAGTTTTGGTTTTGATTTATTCTGATAAGATACCTTTACCTCAATTAATAAAATGATGATATTAAGGTAAAAGATAAAAATTTTGTGACAATTTGCTGGATTCTGCATTCACTTGCTGGATGCTGCATTCACAAACTCTTTAAATGCATCCTACATTAACAGTACACTTACATTAAGAGATAAAATCATTTTTTTAACCATAGAAAAATACTTCAAATACTATTTTAGCTACTTTTGATGACTTTTTTAGTGAAGAAAACCAACTACTAGTTGGTGAACACCAAATACTAGTTAGTCTTTAGTGAAGAACACCAACTACAACTTACCTATCAGAAAAGAAAGTAAAAGTATTGAGGGAAAAAAATCACGTTAAATTTTCAATCATTAAAGTAAGGTGCAAATAACATTTTTTAAATATTTTATAAATATTTCGATTCAGATAAAATACCATTCCTTTATTCATAAAACTTTAACTGTGAATATTTTTGTACATTTGCATTCATTTAATTTTTTTTTATGCGAAAGACAAAAATTTGAAGCATTACCGTATTTACTTGGTTGTTACTTTTAGAGTTACCTGCTCTGAAAAATAAGAAAACTATAGTAAGTTTTTATCAAAATAATAAGGGAGCTGATTAACTTTTCTCTATTTAAATGAGTATTGAGAAAATGTGGATATTGAAAAGTTGACAGAATGAGGAAAGTAGAAATGTCATGTAATGCATTATATTATTATATATTATGTATTACATATATATATATATATATATATATATATATATATATATATATATATATATATATATATATATATATATATATATATATATATATATATATATATATATCATATATATATATATATATATATATATATATATATATATATATATATATATATATATATATATATATATATATATACATATATATATATATATATATATATATATATATATATATATATATATATATATATATATATATATATATATATATATATATATATAATTTTGTTAAAATTAACAAAAAATTCGTAAAAAATAATAGTAAAAATTAAGTATGTATGCATGTTTATGTGTATGCATGTATGTCAGTGACGGTTCAAGCATTTTTTTGGTGTTTGAGACTTTGGCTATATAAAATTTGTGACCTGCTCAAATTGAGTGGGGTTGAAAAATAATACAATGAAACTTATAATTTATCGGTGAATATAAGTCAAGTTGAGAATAGTATAAAATAATATTTTATCAACTTGTTGCCACTCACGTTTGGGGTGGTTGGGAGGATGAAATTTAAGGGTTTTTTTGTTCCCAGCCTCCAATCATTGCAATGTATGTATGTATGTATGTATGTATGTATGTATGTATGTATGTATGTATGTATGTATGTATGTATGTATGTATGTATGTATGTATGTATGTATGTATGTATGTATGTATGTATGTATGTATGTATGTATGTATGTATGTATGTATGTTTGTATGAATGTATGTATGTATGTATTTATGTATGTATGGATGTATGAATGTATGTATGTATGTATGTATGTATGTATGTATGTATGTATGTATGTATGTATGTATGTATGTATGCATGTATGTATGTATGTATGTATGTATGCATGTATGTATGTATGTATGTATGTATGTATGTATGTATGTATGTATGTATGTATGTATGTATGTATGTATGTATGTATGTATGTATGTATGTATGTATGTATGTATGTATGTATGTATGTATGTATGTATGTATGTATGTATGTATGTATGTATGTATGTATGTATGTATGTATGTATGTATGTATGTATGTATGTATGTATGTATGTATGTATGTATGTGTAAAGTTACAAGCTTTAAGTAAATTTGACACATTACCCCAAAGAAAAATGAATAAATGATAGAATAAATTGAAGTAACAAATTATACTTTTTTTTTTCTATAAGTTTATAAAGCTTTTAATAAGTAAGAAGATATTTAAATTTAAATGTGAGGCTCTATTTATTTATGTCTACTGCTTTATTTTTTTAGCTCCACAAAAACATTGGCAGTATTTCAATAACAAAGCTACGTTTTTTTTAAGATCAAAAAAAAATGTTTTTAAATATGAAATAAAAAAAGAAATGAAATGGCGCCAATAATTTACCATTAATAAAAGATTGCATATAAAAAGCTAAACTTGAAAGTGATTTTAATTATTATCTATAGGTTACAGTTAGCCAGCTATAGATAACCAATCGCCAATTTTAAATGATTTTAATTTATTGTGGGTAGCCTAAGTTAGTATGAAGGGCTTTCACTATTATTATGTTGAAGTCATCCAACATGTTTGTCATAAGCAGCTTAGGTCATAAAATCTTTATGACCTAAGCTGCTTATGACAAACATGTTTATATCTTATCAAAGCTTTAATAAAAACTAAAATAAATATATATATATATATATTAAACTCTTGTTATAGCCTCAAAACAAAAATTTTTTGTCTCGGTTTGTCTTTGTCTTGATTTATCTTTAAACAAGTTCTTTTAATAAAATAACTTTATTGTTATTATTGTTAAAATAATTTATTTTTGTAGAACAAGATTGTCATTAACAAAATAATTTCATATTCTAAATGAAAAACATTAGAAATCAGTAGACAAGCGTTTCAAGAGCTGAAAAGCATCTCGAGATAAGTTTGTTTTTGCTATCGTTCTCATTAATTTTATTAACTGTTCGGATTTTTCAATTGCTTTAAAAAATGATTCGTCTAATTCTGCATCAATTGCTAAAGCTAGCAGAACAATTGCAAGCGATTTTTTTTTCTTCTTGTCAGAAACGCTTGTTAAATTTGATAAGTTCGATAAGCCGAGTATGTCGCAAGGGCCGTTATTTTCTTTTGTGATTTCTTGCGTTTTAATCAATCTTGGAAAGTATGCTTGAAAAGGACTAGTTAGTAATGAAAATTCTGTGTTAGGCAGCAACTCTACACTTTCTTTTGAATCTTTTTGTTCTGCGCTGAAGAATTTACGTAGCATCGACAACTTGGACGTGTTTTGTTTTACAAGTGTTCGTTTTTGAAAACTCTGAAAAACTGGTTGCATTACTAAAGGCATGTTACCGTTAATATTAACATTGCAGTCTTTTAAAACAATTTTTTCTTTGGACACACTTTTTTTGGCGGTAATAAAATCGAGTAACGTATAATTATTATTATTTTTTTCGGAACCGCTATTGGAAAATAAATTATGTTGTGGATCAATTGAAGTTGTATGCTCATAAAGCTTCATTGTGTTTACGCTATTTGTTTGTCCTTCATTATCTTCAAAAGTAGTTATGTCAACATTAGACTCCGTAATCATTGTGACTGGGACATAGTTAGTAGTATGCATTTCACTAGTATTCTGATCATAACTTTGACCGTATCGTTTCATTAGCGGTAATTTTTCCGATATTTCTTTGAGCTCTATAGAAAGCTCGTCACTTTCGCTTTCGTTTTCGTTTCCATAAATTAAGCATTGTTTTTGATTTGATTGAGTTTTAAAACTCCTGTTTAAAATATATTCGTTCATACCAAATTTGTTAAAGATTAAATAATGTTTTTTGACTCTCAATTAAATGTATAAACTGTGCGGGAGTTCCAGAAATCTAAATGAAATAGATACAGATTATTTTAAAACCTATGATCTATAAACCTATACAACATTCTAAAAAACACTCCTGACATTTATTTATAATAAAGGTAACCTCTGTTTACCGAAACTTGTATGTTTTTTGGTAGCTTTGGTTACAAACAGCTATTTTTAACTACTAATATAAAATAAAAGATTTTCGTGTATTCTCAATTGTTTTTTCATTAATTAATTTATTAAATTTAATAAAAAACCATCTGCTGACAGAATCACTGAGTTTTGTTTTATGACTTTACGACTAAATGAAATAAATTTCATAACAGAACATTGTAATGAAACTGTCTTATTTATTGTGATGATGTAAGACAGTCTTCTTTTTTATTTTGCTAACAATTTTAACTCTAAAGTATATTTCTAAAGAAAAACTTTTTTATTAATTTGACTTGTGAGATAAATGTGATCTAGTTTCAATTTGTGGAAGGGGTCATAAGATTGCATCTTTATTTGCGATTGCGACTTTATGTCTCTGGCTGCTTTTAACTTAATTTTCTTGATGCGGCATATACGTAAGTGTCTAAATGCAATGTGAATATATGTAAGTGTAATAAGTACAATGTTGAGTAATAATGTTGAATACTTAAAGAGTGCGTAAAAACTAAACTAGAGATATGTAGTATATTAGTTACTGTTATGCACAATACCAGGATTTAACTGATCGCGATTATTTATATAGTTACGACTTTTCTGTGACTATCTTAATAATGGCAATCAGTTAATTTTTTAAAGATTCCTGAAATGATCCAAAGTTAAGTATAAATAGCAACTTTTAAAGAAAACTATGAGTAGCTAGATTGTATTATAAAATTTTGCGGCCAGCTAATTCCAGGAACTGCGGGTAAAAGCAAAGTCAGTTTTAATTAACCTTTTTTTTTTTCTTGTATTATCTTCTACAAATGTAAACTTGAACTTTAAGTAAGAGTCCCTCGGTTAGTAAAAAATAAGGCCATAATAAAAATGGGCCCATATAAACGTATGTGTATCATAAAAATATATATTAAATTTAAAGTTTTTATAACACACACAAAAAAAAGACAAACAAAATAAACAAGCATTATCGAATAGAAAAGATAATGATCTTACAAACTAAAAAAAGCCACATCAATGAAGCGGTTTATAAAAGAAACATTAAAAAGAAGAAAAAGTCGTGATCTAGGTATCAAATTCTGTAATCTAAAAGTTCCACCTTGTAGAAAAACGCTTCAAGATCTATTTATAACTCGGCGTATAGATAAAAATTATTAAAATTATTGAATTAGTTTTGCTATACATTATTCAAGTTTTCTTTTTATCTGATTTTAAAAACATGGAAATAGTCATTGCATTTTTTGTTATTCGTTATTCTTAAATAATTAACAAAAACAAAAACTCAAAATGGGAGAATAAGTTTCTCAAGTTTAAATTATTCACAAAAACAAAAGTAACGCGGAAGAATTATTATATCGAATACAAACTATAACGCTTTAGTAAATGGTTTCATTTTACACCATATCTTTATTTCAGCCTAACTATTACTATAATTATAATTATGGAATAATGGTCATTTTGCAAATAGCCCGATTACGCCTAGCAAATGAAAAAGGTTGTAATGTAATGGTGGTTTAGCCACATTGCTTTATTTGGTTGAACTATTCGTATTTTTAGTTAAACAAATTCCAAGATAAAAAATATTTTTGTTTTTTTGTTGCCGAGAATAATTTTTTTAAGTTTTACTTTATTTGTGTATATTTGAAAGTTTTACTTATAAATGAATAAATTATAAACTATTTTATAATGATTTCTAACTTTAAGTGTTGTAAACCTTCTTTTTTTTTTTTTTTTACCTATTTTATGTAATCTTTGCAAAACCATTTTGCTTCTTTAACTTTTAAGTGTGGTAATAAGAATGCTGATTAACCATAAAAAAAAGCTAAAAAACTTTTCGTAATTAAAGTTTTAGTCTGAAGTTATGACGTAGCTGTAAATGTTTAACAATAGATCATATTTATTTATTTTATCTCCAACTTTTAGTAAACTACTTTGATAAGCCACTCCCCTTTAGCGTACTTAAAATAAAATGTTGAGATTTTAGCATAATATATTTAGCATAATATATTAGGAATAAATTATTTATTATATTTAATCATTAAAAAAGGATTTTTTTTATTCTTTGAACATGAACTTGAAGCGTCCATGATTTGCCGTATGCAACGGAGTCATATGTCTTTAAAGTATTCATCTTTTTTATAACAGTTTTTTTTTTTTTTTTTTTTTATCTGTGATGATTTGTTGAATGTAAACCTCACTCTTCATGGTAGCTTCTTAAGTTATTAGTGTAATTTTTTTAGGCCCTGTAAACACATGTCTTGTAAAAAAAAATTCATTTTTTTTATGCTAAGAAAATTACCTTTTTTAACAGTCTAAGTAGTTTAAAGTCACAAATGAGTAAACTTAATAAACACTATCATTTTTGCGGGGGTTTAAATATATAGATATGATATGTTATGAAAAGATTACTATATCAACTGTCTTTAAGCTTACGCGAATTACAACAACATCAGCATTTGAAATCAATAATATTACAACTAAAAGTTCCATAAATCCTCTTTTTATTCAAGTTTTTCAAACTCTTCTGGTCTTTTTTTCATTTTTTATGCTACGCGTGGACTCTTATCTACTATTGACTAAATATTTTGTAATTTATATAATAAAAATCCCAGATAGATTTTATAATAAGCTATACAGAGATCAATAGGAATGATTATTCTACAACAATCCGTTTCAACATTTAAGAAATTTTAAGAACTTTTTAAAATAATTCTGACATATCTACCCAGAATTAACATGTTACTCAAATATTGTTTTTAAACAACAAACAATATGAGAATCTATGATTAAGATAAATTCGAAAATGTAAGATTTTATTTTATTAAACTGCATGTGGATGACATGCAATTTAATAAATTTATCAAAAATTAAAAAAATAATTTTACTAAGAAAAATGAAGATAAAGCTAATGTCCAAATGATTTTCAAAAAAACTAAATTGAGTAATATTCTAATCATTTGGGTAAACGTAAGTATGATATAAATATAACTTGTTTCTAGGAAATAATCCCCCGGGAAATAATCTGCCAGGAAATGATGCCTAGGAATAATCCCCCGGTAAATAAAAGCCTGCCTAAAGCAAAATCCTCAGTCGATGCATCGACATGCAAGGAGCACGCTTCTACGTTGCGATGTAGAAGGGCTCCTTGCATGTTAGACCTTTTTTGAGATTTTAGAAATATCTTGTTCTATCTTCACATTTTGGAGATAAAATGATTTAAAAAAGAAAAAGTTTAGAAGACGACATAAAATTTTTTTTAAAACATGTTTTTTCCGCAACATTTTTACTTATAACTTAGGTTTCAATACAATAAAAAATATTATTATCAGGTACACAACATTATCAATAACTCGATTTTTTCAAAAAGCGAAGATAGAGTAAGATATTTCTAACGTCGCAATTTGTCAGACGAAGTATAAAGAATAAAGGTTTTGCTGGTAACATAGTATGTTGTAATATTGTATGCTTGTAACATAATATCTATGTATAAATTGTTTATATTATATATGATTATTTTACTGATACATCGCAATTTTTAAATGCTGTAAAAAAAAATTGGCGGTTTTTTCGAGTGGGAATTTTTCCGCATTGATTTGTTCTCGGAAGGATTTTTTTTCAAGGGATTTTTTCCGTGGAGATTTTTTGAAGAGACTAGAATACTTAGTTATAAATGAAGTAACTAAGAAAGAAAAAAAAGAAGTTTTCATGTTTACCACAAAAATTACAACTGAAATAACTATATGACAAGAATTTCACAATCATTTTCCTAATCTAATTTTTCGGTGGTAAAATAAATAAATTTGAGTTTTTAAAAAGCACCAGATGATATATATTAAATATATACATACAAAAAACTAAAATCCACACTTGAATACCACCTAGAACAGATGTTTATTTATAATTTGACACCAGTTTGCGTCATACTTTACAAAGTAATGCATTGCTATTATTTTGTAATAACAAAAACAAAGTCTGATGCATTTTATTCTTTAAATAAAAAGTTCTTATATTTAATAGTTACCTATACCCACGCAGCTAAACATCTGTTATTAAAACATGTGTTTTGCGTTTTTATAAGCACTCAAATTGGCAATATAATTTTTTAATTTAGTTTAAAAATTTTATTTACCGTTGATTATAAACAATATTTTAATTTTTGTAAACTAACTACAATCAACATATGTAACTTTACGGACAGCGCACACCAAGACAAATCGTCGCTCTATTTTTCCAAGGTTCTAACTGATTTTTTTATATTAGGAGAATAGAAAATAAACCTTTTTTTTTCTTTTTTATTAATGTCTTAAATATTTGAATAATTTAAATATGTCTTAAATATTTGAATTATTGAAATAATATTTGAAAAATATTTGAATAAATTCTTTTATTTATTTGTGTATTTTTATACATCAACCACAAAAGAATACGTAAACAAATAAAAAAACAATAATATAAAATTTTAATTAAACTTTAAAAAAAAGCAAAAGATTTTTTCCTAAATTCTCCTAGTATAAAAATTTCAGTTGGAACCTTGTCGAATCAACGCGACGAAATGACGTTTATAAATGAACAAATAATTAAAAAAAAAAACCTTCATAAAATAAAAAAAAAATTTGGACAAGATCTAAATTAGAAAGTTTGGATTTTACAATCAAGGCCGGCGCGATGGAGGGGTGTAAAGGTGTGACATCCCCCATCAATGATTTTTTTGTTCATTTAGTCGGCAAATTAGACCCTTTTTGACTAGTTAGTCGGCAAATGTAGACTCTTTCGACAAGTTAGTCGGTAAATTTAGAAAGTCAGTCGGCGAATGTCGTTATGGCAGTCGGCAACTTTTGAAAAACGAGGATCTTTTTTTTTTTTTCAAGCCGCTAAAAGTTTTAATGGCACCCTCCTCCCCACATGACTCCTACTCGCGCCGGCAATGTTTACAATCATTGTAATTTCTTTACATCTACGATAAATAAAAAATCAAGAAACAATTAAAGTTTCAATAAACAAGAAAGTTGAAAAAAAATAATAATAATAAATACTTAAAAAGGCTTGAAAAAAAAAAAGGTAATACAAAATCTAAAAAACAATTTTTATATTTTAAATAACTTAATTTTTTTTTTTTTAACTTTTTTTAAATATAAAATGAAGATCATAATGTAAGGAAAAACCACAGGGAAAAAATAAGAAATTTTTATTTTTAATGCTAATTAGTAGAGCCGTGAAATAGAAGTGCGAGAGGTGCGGTCGCACAGGGCGGAAATTTTTGCATATGTATAGTTTGAATTAGTTTGAATTTTGATGTAAAATTACCAAAATGTAATCACTAATTACAAATCATTATTTCATTACTTACATATAAATATTACTGTATACACATAATTTTTTGCTTCTCCGTCTCAATGAACATTATTAGCTTCGGCATCAAATAGAAATGGGGAAAGTGATTTTAAAAACAGATTATAGAAACTATATACAATGTATGAATGAATGAATGTATGAGTGAATGTATGTGACATTGCATCATTGCATTGCATCCAGCTAAATTCATTGTGTTGCAACCAGCTAAATAATTTTAGCGTTTTTGTTATGATAATGGTAGTTAATTACTTTTAGATATTTTTTATTTATATGTTTTAGTAAACTTATCCTTAAGTGTTTGTTTAGAAAAGGTTAAGGTATTTTTTTATTATATTTAATGAAAATACTATAACTATATTAAGTATATATCAAATATGTATCAAATTCTTATATAAAATGTTATTAATTTTAAACAATATTTTTCTTATTTTATCATGTTTTTTTAGTTTTTCTTCTATTACTGTATTAATTTTTAGTTGTAAATAAAATAAATATGTTGACTTTCTTCATAAATGAAACTCATTTTTTAATAGTGAAACGTATTATAGGCAGAGCTGGAGATTTGAGTCAACCGACTCGAACTCGAGTCCAATTTAAGTCACACCAGTGACTCGACTCGAGACTCGACTTGGGTTTTGCCCTGAGACTTGCGACTTGACTCGAGACTAATTTCCGCTAAACGATTTTAAAATTATTATTTTCCGTCTCTTCAAAAATGGAGCAATTTATTTTTTATTTTAATTTAACTGTTTTTTAACTATTTT